GAGAGCATTTTTCATTTCCTGGAATAGTAGCCCGCACTCAGCAGCATTAGATCACAACAACAATATTAACAGTTATAAAGCAGTCATTAAGTCAGGGACAAAAAAAAGGGCAAGACCGTTAGAAAATGATTTTTGCTAAAACAAAGAAGCAATAGGTTGTAAAAGCAATGAAAGAAAAGAAAGAGTACCAGTACATTGATAAACTACTTGCCAAGGTTGTGAATGCATGCAAAACTGAGGAGATTGAACTTGTACATCATGGCGAGAATCTTCCAAAGAACATTTCTAAATTATGTCCACCCAGGAAAGAAGTAATTGTAAAGGAACATCAGTCTAGATTTGCATAAAATGTCAGTGGTGACCTAGCAGGGCCAATAGAGCCCACTGCCAAAGGTGGATTCAAATATGCTCTATCATTTGTAGATGATTTTTCAGGTATAAATATGGTCTATTTTCTGAAGCAAAAAAGTGACACATTAGAAGCTACAGAAAAGTTCCTAGCTGACGTGGCGCCTTACGGAAAGTCAAGAGGTTACGAAGTGACAACGGAGGTGAGTTTCTTAATGACGAATTCAAGTGCCTAATGAGAAAGAAGTCCATTAAACATGAGACTAGTGCGCCGTACTCACCCCATCAAAACGGCACTGTAGAAAGAGCACGGCGTAGTTTATTCAGCATGGCAAGGTGTCTATTAATAGATGCTGCATTACCAAAATACTTGTGGACGTATGCCGTGATGGCTTCTGCATACATCCGAAACAGATGTTTTAATACACGATTGGGGAAGACACCCTATGAAGCACTTACTGGGAAGAAGCCAAATTTGAGTAGGATGCATGTTTTCGGCTCAACATGTTTTGCATATGTACAAAATGCAAAAAAAGCTTGATGACCGTAGTATAAAAGGGACCTTTGTTGGGTACGACAAAGGAAGCCCAGCGTATCTAGTGTATTATGCAGGTACTAATAAAGTTGAAAAGCACGATGCGTAAAATTCCATGACAATTTTAAGGTTCAGCAAATTGATTCAGATGATTTTGTCTTAAGCGGACAAAAGAATGCTAAGAGCGAAAATAATAAACCTGAATTACCTAGTACAGTAGAGGCAAAACAAGATAGTTCTAACAATGAAATTGTACAAGCAAGTGATGACTCACAAATACAGGAAAGTCATGAACAAGATACGCAAATACGATATCCGACAAGAGCACGTAGCAAACCAAATTATTTTGGACAAACCAAAACAGAGGATAATATTAATATAACAGTAGATTACTGCAATAGACTAGCAGACATTCCAGTGAATTATGAACAAGCATATTCTTTGCAATTCACATATCAAATTCACGTATCGAATTTGCTGATACTATTTACCAAAACGTGTCGTTCTTGGAGAGTAAAAAATTCTCTTTTATTAAACGTGGGAAACTAAATGATTTCTTTATGGAAATGAAAAAATACATGAATACATGTAAGCATTAAAAGCACCAGATGCAGCCAAATGGCAGGAAGCCATGGGTGTAGAAATGAAAACATTACTGGACAATGAGACATTTGAAATTGTACCACAACCTAAGGATAGGCAAATAGTGGGGGCAAAATGGGTATATACAATTAAGACAAACCAGAAAGGAGAGGAAACATACAAAGCAAGATTTGTGGCTAAGGGTTACTCTCAAGTGCAGGATATTGACTGTCAAGAAACGTTCGCACCCACAGCACGAATGAGTTCAGTTCGCACGCTATTACAAAGCACGGTTCAGAAAAATATGCTTATTCACCAAATGGATGTGAAGACTGCCTACTTAAATGCGCCTATTGATTGGGAAATCTATATAGAACAGCCCGAAGGTTTCGAGAAAATAGGTAACAAAGGTGAAAAACTAGTTTGTAAATTAAAAAGTCACTATATGGACTCAAACAGAGCGGTAGAAATTGGAATTTATTGCATGAATTCCTAATCCAGGAAAAATTTGTTCAGTCACTCGCAGATCCATGCCTATATGTTCATACGATTGATGATAAGCGATGCATTATTGTTATTATATGGGTAGATGATATCATTTTAGCAGCAAGCAACGCAGATTTAAGATGACTGACTTAGGAGAACTAAAATGGTTCTTAGGTGTTGAATTTCAAAGAAGCGAAAACTGCATGAAGATGAACCAATGCCGTTACCTTCAGAAAGTTCTTTCGAAGTTCAAAATGTCTGATTGCAAACCAAAGCCAACTCCATGTGTTTTGGGTAAGGAGTCCCCTGAATTGAATGATCCTAAGGCAAGCATAGGGCAAGCATAAGGCAAGCATATCCTAAGGCAAGCATAATTGAATGAAAGGGCAATAATAGGAAGCTTAATTTATGTGATGACCGGTACACGACCAGATTTGTGTTATGTTGTAACAAAACTGTCTCAGAAAATGTCCAAACCCACACAAGCAGACCTTCGTATAGCAAAGCACGTGTTGAGATACTTAAAAGGCACGTGTAGAGATACTTAAGAGTTAGGGTTGATATTTCAAAAATCGAGTCAGCCACTAGCACTTAAAGATTTAGTGATTCAGATTGGGGAGCGTCTATAGAAGATAGACGAAGTATTACAGGTTATAACTTCCAGCTTTCACAACAAGGACCACTGATATCATGGAAAAGCCGAAAACAACCAACAGTTGCATTGTCAACGTGCGAAGCAGAGTATGTTGCACTTGCTAATACAGTGCAGGAAGCAAAGTTCTTAATGCAACTCTGTCAAGATACGAAGGTAGGTATAAACGAAGATAAGTCATTAATTATGATTGATAATCAAGGAGCAATGAACTTAGCAAAGAATCCAGTCCATCACCAGAGATCCAAACATATTGACATAAAATACCACTTCATCAGATCAGAAATACAGAAAGGTAGAATTAACTTAGAATATGTAACCAGTGAAGAAAACATAGCAGATATTTTTACAAAACCAGCCAGCAAAAACAAATTGGAGAAATTTGAGCAGACAATTTTAGGAAAGATATGATAGGAATTATAAAGTACGCATAAGTAAGACCAAACGGTAAGTATCAGTTTAGGAATGCAAATATTTTATACTCAGAACATAAGAGCAAGTGGGGGTGTTAAGATATGCTCTCATATTCTTCCCGTAATTAGTAAATAATTAATTCAAGTGTAAGTAATTAGATGACTAATGTTAAGAGATACTTATAATGTTATCAAGACAATATTTTTTATAGTTCCTAGTAGTTTTCCGTTGACGTCAATAAACCATATTTGCTAGCAGAACCCAAAATAAACTTACGTAAATTTTGTATAAATAGAAGTAGTTAACTCATTGTAAAATAGAAGACGTTGAACATTAGATGTGATCGTATAGTTATCTGTAACATTTGTTGGTGTTAGTCAAATTATACTAAAGAAGGTACATGGCTACATCACAAAATCTAACACTGATGAGCTCTGATATTGAGCGAAACGGTCAAAAATCTATAATTTATGAGCAAGAATGTTAGCTCATTCCAGTAATAAATATTTTAGAAGACCAACTGCAAAAACGCAGGAAATAGCATTTTTCGCAATCCAATTTTAAAATTTTATTGGGGGGGGGGGTACATGCTGCTGGACCCACCGAGAAAAGTCACGCTAACGGTGCGACATTGTGCCTAAGTTCATATACGAAGCTGGATCCGCCCCTGATTAAAATATTATTAAAATTATTGATATAATAATATTAACACCGATCATATTAACAACACACCAAAACCCATGGCAATGCATTCCACCCCATATAATCACATTAATCCACCCGCTAATCCAATTAGATGCTCTAAGCGTCTACAAGCTAAAAGCACATGTAAATAGTAATTTCCTTATTCTTATGAAGGTCAAAAGCTTAATAAAAATCATTTTATACAATTCAGAGAATCTTTTATTTTTATACATTAAATATGCCTGGATTACCAATCTTTAAACTTATTATAAATTGTATATACAGTTTGTTTATTGCGCTCACTGCGCGTGCGTAGTTTGAGCACTCTCGGATTATGTAGAGAGCTTCTTAATGATACGTTGACTGTGTTCGCGATAAGCAAAGCTCACCTTTATAGGTTTGAGCACTCTGGTGACTATAATACAAGCCATACAATGTGTAACCATACTTCCTGTGGCCCAAGTGCAGGAGTCACCATTGCACTGTGGTGATAGCAGGGAGGGCGCATTGTTTATACACTTTGTATATTACGCTCACTGCGCGTGCATAGTTTGAGCACTGTCGGATTGTGTAGAGAGTCTCATATGGAGACGTTCACTGTGTTCGCGATATGCAAAGCTCACCTTTATAGGTTTGAGCACTGTGGTGACTCTACAATACAACCCATACAATGTGTAACGGTAACACTTTGTATATATTAGTATAATATATATACATATATATATTAGTTAACTACTCACATGCATGATTTCCCAGCAAGACATTTTACAAAATTAATACCGAATAGTATTGCACGAGGATGTTATTTTATTAATAATTCACGCTATAAGTTTGTTGATGTTTTCATCAAGAGTGATCATCTTCAGAAGGAGATAAAGTTCAAAGCTTTTGCAGTGAAAAACAACATAGATGTAAAAATATCTATATTTTCTATTGCGACCTAGCTGAAGTATGTTGCTGGAAGGTGTGTGTGTATAAAATTTGTTTTGGAAAAATTGGGGACATGAACATAAAGGTTCAAACACGAGTGGGACCTTCTGTTAAGATATCTATTCTGTGCTGTAGACCTGAACAGAATTCATTACGAAATTAAATACACGTAAATGTAAATAAGTATGCCCATTATTTAAGGAGCCTTTGCATTGAACCCCAGCAGTGTTGTGTAAAACCTCCTTAGGTTAGTATATAGAAGATATAATAAATATTTAATAAAACTTTTACAACAATTTACACAACACTCAGAATGTCGGTGCTCTCACTAGTCTATCCTATCAAGTGTCTTCCGCATCTTATGCTGTGATGGAGAAAGTTTTAAGACCACAACGTTTTGACACCAATCCTAACGCTCAAGACGCTGCTAGATCGTGGTTGCACTGGTTTGCTACTTTCCAAAATTTTGTAGCTGCTATACCTAACGAAGAAGTGAACAAATTAAAGGTTCTAGTCAATTATGTTTCTACCGACGTTTATCAACTTTTCTGTGAAGCGACAACCTACGAGGAAGCTATAGAATTGTTAAAAAATCTCTATGTTAAGGTTCCTAATGAGATATTTTCGCGACATAAGTTAGCTACTCGTAAACAACAATCTGGCGAGAGCCTGGATGAGTATTTGCAAGAATTAAAATCGCTAAGCAAAGATTGTAATTTTCGTAGCGTGACATCAAATCAATATCGAGACGAGGCTGTACGAGACGCGTTTATAGCAGGTCTTCTTTCAACTAACATCCGCCAACGTCTTCTCGAGAATAAAACATTAGACCTTCAGACAGCTTTTGATCAAGCCTGAGCCTTAGATACAGCACAGAGAACTTCTGAAACTTATGCAGACGGAATTCCAATAACAGCTGCTGCTCTATCAAACAAGGACGGGGAGAATTCGTTTATTAATCAACGGGCATTCGAAAACCAAGATAAAACTGATCAATCTGACGGACATCAAGAGAACAACGGCATAGTAAGGTATGTTGCCGCCTCTTCTAGATCAGCGAAATGTTTCTTCTGCGGTAATCCACCACACCATCGTTCCGCATGCCCGGCTAAAGACGCCTATTGTTATAAATGTAAAAAGAAAGGACATTTCCAAAGAGTATGTAAATCGGTCGCTCCTCAGGCTTCGTATATAGCATTAGCATCAACTAAACATACAGTAGCAAAGTCACTAAAGAAAGCCTGTATTGATGTCTTGATTAATGGAAAATCTTGCGAAGCTCTAATTGATTCGGGAAGTAGACATAATTTTATACATCCTAAAGTTGCAAGTAATCTGGGATTGAACGTTTATACAACCCAAGAGAAAGTAACAATGGCTGCATCCTCGTTTTCCTCTAAAATTCAAGGCTATTGTCTTGCAGATATTATACTTAAAGAGCGAGAGTATGCGAAAGTAAAACTGTTTGTCTTAACAAATTTATGTATGAACGTGATATTAGGACAAAATTGGCAGGAAAAACATGAAAGCATAATTATTGAGTATGGGGGAAAATCGCCCTCTTTAACGATATGTGGTTTATCAACTATAAATATAGGGCCACCGCCGTTGTTTCAATTTTTGTCTGAAGATTGTAGACCGGTAGCTGCAAAATCACGAAGATACAGTGCCGAAGACAGAGCGTTCATCGCAACAGAAGTGTCGAAATTGCTTGAAGAAGGGATTATTGAAGAAAGTGACTCTCCCTGGAGAGCCCAAGTCGTTGTAACCAAGAACGAAAGACAAAAGAAAAGACTAGTAATCGATTACTCTGAAACAATTAATAAATTTACTCAGTTGGACGCTTATCCGATGCCAAGAATAGATGATACAGTAAACACAGTTGCCCAATATAGTGTCTTTAGCACTGTAGATCGTAGAAGTGCATACCATTAAGTACCTATCAAAAATAAAGAGAGAAAGTACACGGCTTTTGAAGCTAACCATCGACTTTATCAGTTCCGTAAAATCCCATTTAGTGTAACTAATGGAGCGGCAGCCTTTCAACGATCAATGGATACTTTCATATCCGAAGAAGCTTTAGAAGATACTTTCGCGTATTCAGACAATATTACTATATGCGGTTACAATCAGGAGCATCATGATAAAAATTTGGAACTTTTTATGAAAGCAGCGAGGAAACGTAACCTAACATTTAATGAAAGCAAGTGCGTTTTTTCGGTAACTTGCTATGCATGTTAAGGACTTGATTGTAAATGATGCTGGAAAATGTGGGGTTTCAATTGATGGCACCTGGCAGAAGTGAGGATACTCTTCACACCATGGTGTTGTCACGGTAATTTCCCTTGATACCAAGAAGTGCCTTGACGTAGAAGTGCTTTCTGACAAGTGTCAGCAGTGTATCAGGTGGAGGAAGAAACAAAGTGATGCTAGATTTAAATAATGGGAGGCAACTCATGTTTGTAAAATAAATCATACTGGGAGTTCTGGCAGCATGGAAATGGCAGGTGCACTGAGGATGTTTGAAAGGTCCTTTGCTACAAGAGTGTTGAAGTATAAACATATGCTTGGCGATGGTGATTCATCTACATATAATGCAGTCCTAGCAAGCAAACCATATGGAGAAGATTGTCTACCAAATGAATTGGAGTGCATTGGGCATGTGCAGAAAAGAGTGGGAAGTAGGTTGCAAAGACTCATAAGTACTAGTAAAGGAAGAAAGCTCGCTGATGGGAAGGGTATGTCAGGTGAAGGTAGACTAACTGATGGCAAAATAGATGTGTTCCAAAATTATTATGGTCTGGCAATCAGAGTAAACCTTCACAGTGTTGAGGAAATGGCAAAGGCTGTGAAGGCTGCGAAATGGCTTTTTCATGTGGCATCAACAAAGGAGAATCCACAGCATCACCTTTGTCCAAAAGGAATGGACAGTTGGTGTGGATATCAACGTGACAAGGATGGTTATAACCACAAGAATGGCCTTTCAAAGTCCATTGTTGATTTGTTAGAGCCTATTTTCGAGGATTTGGCTGACACTACATTATTAAACAAATGTACACATGGTTTGACACAAAATCCAAATTAATGTTTGAATGGACTTATTTGGGATAGATGTCCGAAGACAATCTATGTTAAACATGAAACTGTGGCTCTTGACACATATTTAGCTGTTTTGAAATTTAATGATGGAGACATTTCCTTCCTAAAGATATTTGAAGATTTGGCCATAACACCAGGTTTCTTTACTTGCCAAGGTGTGCACATTTGTGACCAAGCTCGAATAAAACTTTCAGCAAAAAAGAGCACTGAGAAGGTGAAGGGACAAAGAAAATCCCTAAGATATTATAGAAAAAAGTATTTAGATATTGCTGAGGACAATGAAGGAGTTACATATGAGTCAGGTGGCTTTTAAACCCTGTATAATGTTATGAAAACTTTACTATAACTTTAACTTGACTTTTCTGCATTTCGTTATTTTTTGTGTGTCACCAATATTTGTGACACTGTGATTTTGTAAATATTTATTGTAGAAGCTTGATATTTAGTATATTTATTCAGTACAATATAATCTAGAAACTGACATTTTCAAATTTTAAAATTTTCCTCAGATGAATTATTTCCGCACTTTTTTCCGAAAAAATGGTGGATTAAAACCCAAAATATCTGACAATTCAATAAATCAGCTGTTAAATTTTTATAAAAAAATTTGAAGAAAATTGAAAAATCTCATTCTCTAGCTCAGATTATTGGCTTTTCAAAAATGTATTATTTGTTTCATTGTGATGACTTGTTCTTGAGATATCATGTTAATGCTGTTAATTAATTATGGGCTAATTAATGGCTATTAAAAAATTCTTTTGCTATATCGTGCCTTAAAACTATTTCGTGAATAAAATATCTTAAGAGTATACTGACACTTTTTTATGTGATCATTGTGCTACAAAGCAGTTGTTAGTGTGTTGTTTCGTATGTTTATATCACATGCAACTTTGAATGAATCTCAAAACAAACTAATCACAATGACTTTCCGTTTTCATAGAATGTGTCACAAACTATGTACGTCATTGATGAGTCATATGTATACTTAGATACGACGTGGATAAGCACATTTCATTGAAACTAAAGCAACCCAAAATTTATGGATGCATAACATACATGAGCTTGAATGGTATCATTTATAAAAACCCAGTTGCTTTATTGTTCCTTTTAACTCCTTCATGGTGAAAATTAAGTGTATATTGATGACATCTATATGTCACCATAGTGCCGCTCATTACAATGAACAAAGTTCTATCAAGTATCATAGCGTTTCATCCTCGTATCATACGTACGCCTATCGTTCACGCGCTCATCATACGCGTATCCTTTTCGTATCATACAAGTATCATTCTTGTATCAGACGCGTATCCTTTTCGTATCATACGCGTATCGCTCTCGTATGCCCTATATGCAACAACTCAAAAAAAAACCTGAAAAGGCATAAAACACAAGGTCCATTAAAAGAGGTAGGAGTCCATAAAATTTTGCAAGTGTGCATTCATAGATAACCAAGACGGACAAAATATAGAAAGGAAAATTATCGCCAGGTCTCGCTAACATCTATCATTAGTAAAACGGCGGAGAAGATTGTGAAATCGAGAGTTGTCTCATTTTGGACGGAACACCAACTACTAAACCCAAGCCAATTTGGATACCTGGAGGGCCGATCGACAGTGTCACAACTTTTAAGCTGTTATAATGACTGGTGTTTAACAAGAAATTCGTCCAAAGTGTCTGATGTAATATTTCTGGACCTGTCAAAAGCGTTCGACAGTGTCCCTCATGAGCGCCTACTTTTAAAACTCAATAGGTACGGGATAGATGGGCAGCTGCACCTGTGGTTCAAAAAATTCTTAACCAATCGAAAACAAAGAGTTATGGTACGTGGATCGTACTCGGATTGGTCACCAGTTACATCTGGTGTCCCTCAAGGCTCAGTACTGGGACTGGTTATGTTCCTTATTTATGTGAACGAAATACCTGGCATCATCACGTCTACTGCCAAATTATTTGCTGACGATACCAAAATGTACCGACAGATAAATAATATCGACGATTCTATTGCTTTACAGATAGATCTGACAACCCTCGACCTATGGGCGGATCGTTGGCAGATGAAATTTAATTCTACCAAATGTGAAGTCATGAGAATTACACATAAGAGAGACAAAAAGTCCACGCGGTACAATATACCGAGTACAGCGTTGAGCAATGTATCTAATAATAATAATAATAATAACTTTATTTGAAGAGGGGGACACGTAACAGCTGAAAAGCTGACAAACCTGTGGCCCTCTAACTAGATTATACAGGATTACAAAAAAACTGATAATGAATAAATATATAAATAATTACAAAATTCTATGATAAAAATAGCTGGACATATTAAAAATATTCAGAAAGATAAAATTAATTTATAAAAAATTAAAATTAAAATTAGGTAGTGTACTATTGCTTAATATTGTTTCAAAGTTGTCCAGGTTTTTATATGAGCTTATAAAATGCTTTTTCACAGCTGTTTTGAATAGATTTATACTAGGCATTTTTTTGATATCATGGGGAAGGCTGTTCCATAACTTAACTGCGTTAACACTGAATGCCTTGCCACCATCGTTATTTCTTAGGTATTTGGGACACACTAAATTTAAATTGCCATGTCTCGTGGACCTATTGTGAACAGAACTGTTCGTCTTGAACAAATCTTTGATATAAATGGGAACATCGCATTTGAGGCTCTTAAAGATCATGGCACACTTGTTTAGTTTTATTTTGTCAAAAAAAGGCAATCAGCCTAGTTTACTAAAGTTTACAACACTTCTAGAATAAGGGTCTACTCCAAGAATTACTCGGGCAGCCCTTTTTTGTAACCTTAGGAGACAGTGGAGTTCTTTAACGTCGCAGGTATTCCAAACCATGCTCCCGTACATAAGGACAGGTTTAATCAAGGCGTTATAGTATAAAAGTCTTTCTTTTATTGGAAGGTATCTCTTTATCTTTTTTAATAAACCAATACGCTGAGAAAGCTTGGCCTTTAGGCTAGAAATGTGGTCACTAAATGTAAGATCTTGATCGAGTGTTACACCAAGCAATTTATAAGAGGTTACTTGTTCTATTTCAGCCCCATCAAGGGTCACTGACAGGTGATTGCCATCAACTAATGATGAATGTAGCCTCTTTCCAGTGATAAGTAATGCTTTGGTTTTAACAGCGTTTAGGACCATCCCATTTTTGCTAGACCATTTACTTAATTTATCCATGTATTCTTGAAGACGTCGTTCCAATTCCAAAGGTGCATTATCGATATTAGCGCTGGCTTTAAATGTGGTGTCATCCGCGTAAGCATGAATAGTTGAGTCCGATCCAACAGCTACGGGAAGATCATTGACGAAAATTAAAAACAGTAGAGGTCCTAATATGCTACCTTGAGGAACTCCATTGGTTAGCATAAGTTGTGACGAAGTCGAGTTATTTACAGTGACACACTGTTTGCGATTGAGTAGATAGCTCTGCAATAGCTTTACAACATTATCTGGAAATCCATATGATGTTAACTTTACTAGGAGAATGTCATGATTGATCAAGTCGAATGCCTTGCTATAACAAAAACTAAGCCGCTGACATTGTTTTTATCAAGGTCAAGAAGGACTTGGTCCAGAAGAAACAACAAAGCAGTATCCGTGGAGTGGTTTTTACGGAACCCTGATTGGAAGCGGTATAAAAGTGCGTTTTTTGTTAAGTAAGTGTTCATTGCATTGAGGATGTGTCTTTCAAAGACTTAAGAAAGAATAGGCGAAATACTAATAGGACGATAGTTTTGAATATCTTGCTTGTTTCCTTGATTCTTGAATAGTGGTTTAACCTTTGCTATTTTCCATTGTGAGGGAAATGTACAAGTTTCAATACAGTGATTTATAATTTTAGCTATGGAGCATGATATTTCAGGAGCTGCAATCCTTAGAACTCTGGCACCAAGCCCATCAAATCCCGTGGCTTTGTGTGTAGGTATACTTAGAAGATAATCGTTAACCTCACTAGGAGTTATTTGCGGAATAAGATTCTCAATTTGACTGTTAGATTTGTCTGGAGGACCAGGAAGAGCATCATAATGAAGTACAGGAGCCGCCTTTATGAGACGTTTATATACATCAGCGAAGAAGCGGTTAAAGCGTTCAGCGATTGAATGGTCATCCTTTATCAGGTTGTTGTTTTCGTCAGCAATAGGAACGGAGTCGTCATTATTCCTTGTATCTTTAGATATCATTATTCCTTGTATCATTATTCCTTGTATCTAATTACAAAGATCTTGGAGTTATTATGTCTAGTGATCTAAAATGGTCACAACATGTTGAACAAATAGTTCACAAAGCAAATAAGGTTCTTGGCTTACTTACGCGCACAGTAGGCGGTAAAAACAAAGATATTTTTTCAAACTTGTACAAAACCTTGGTTCGTCCAATCTCGGAATACGCCTGCGCGGTGTGGTCACCACACCTCATGAAAGACATCGATGAAATTGAGAAGATACAAAGAAGAGCCTCGCGAATTGCCTTAGGCCAAAGAAGACAAGAGATGGCGTACACGGAGAGGTGTAAAATTCTTAAATGGAACTCTTTAGTACAAAGGAGAAATTTCCTTTCCTTAGTGGAATGTTATAAAACTGTATTCAATCTAAATGGATTGAATTTCAGCGAATATTTTGAACTTTGTAAAAACACTAAATCGAGATCTAACCACCCATATAAACTACAACTCAAACTCGCAAGACTGAACTGTTACAAAAATTCTTTCTTTGTCAGAATTATCAAACCCTGGAATAACTTCCTATTAATTTATTTAATTTTTGTGACAGCCCTAACGTTCGTGAGTTTAAATCAAAATTGAAGAAACACATGAATATTTATTGAATCATCAGTTAATTGATATTTAGCTGTTTCTTATTTGACATTTTTTTTTTATTTATTATTTACTATTTATTTTTTTATATTTATTATTTTTATTTTTATTAACTAGTTCTGTAAGATTTTTTACATAAATAGGAGACCTTTGATATAGGGCTAACCTCTGGGTTTCCTTTTTCTTAATAATGATGTATTTACATGTTGTTCTGAAATAAATTATTGTAACAAGCATTTAACTATTAATTGTAACAAACCTTTGCTCCAAGAATCCTTTACGATATCTAACTCCATCTCGTCTTTGGTAAAGATTGGCAGCTAAATTAAATGCCATAAAATACAAATTTTGCAAGTGTGCATTCATAGATAACCAAGACAGAAGCATTTTAACTATTAACTGTAACAAACCTTTGCTCCAAGAATCCTTTACGATATCTAACTCCATCTCGTCTTTGGTAAAGATTGGCAGCTAAATTTAATGCCCATCGATTGAGGCAAATGGCATGAAAGCCTGGATGCTCTGTTATGCATTTTGGCTGCCTTCCTAATTTGGAAACAACCATATGATCTTGCATTTCAATCATGCAATTGATAATTTTGTGGCAACATCTACATTCTTTTGGATTAACAAAGAGAGGAACATGGCAGTTACCACAATTGCACCTGAGAAAGTTATGTCAAAAGCTTCGGCAACAATATATAAACAAATTTTCCAACTTTTCTTACCAAGAATCAAGAGGAACTTCATTTTGCATTCCGCATTCAAGCTCTTCTGTTTGGCATCTTCTTCTTCTGCCTCTCTATTATAGTTTTCTAACCACTCATCATCAGCTAGTGGTTCGTGTTCATATGCTGCAGCTTGGCTATACTCAAAATCGCCATCGGTGTTTCGGAGCGCATTTGATGACGATCGATCTTCGTCTTCTAAATCGAATTCCCGACAGTTCAATTAAATATTTTCCGCTGTTGTTGCTGTACTCGACTCAGAATCGGATGTCGACATGTTTTGTACAATTTTTATATTAATTTCAAGCAATATATTAAGAATTGTTATTTCACACTGTGTTGTTTTGTATGCAGCGCATTCATACGTTCTTTAAATGACCTCACAAACCTCTCGTCTTAAGTCCCCTTAGAGGTGCAGAAATTTCTCAAAATCAGGTTAATTCAAACCGCAAAAAAACTTTTTATTTTTTTACGAAATTTTCTTTGTAATCATATTTTCCACAGTCTAAACTTTAAAAGTTCAACGAATTTGGAAAGGCTGTATGTGCACTTTAAAGTTGGTTAGGGGACAACTGCCATCTTCTTAGTCTGCCAATGGTTACACCAAAATCTACCTTCCTTTATCATTTTCACAAGAGTCAGTTGTCTTGCCATAACAAATGCGTGCATGTTCATTAGTTTGAGCCACTGTCATGGCTGCATTGAAATCTTCACACTTTACAGTGTGCACAATGTTTATAACAGTTCTTCCTGTAAAGCAAACAGGCTTTATAAATAAATTTATAAACAATAACAGCAAGGTATGCCTTATTGGCCAACTTAATCTTTTTTCATTAACTTCTTTTCAAACAGTTTGTACTCTAATCATAAGCAAAATGATGAAATCAAAAAATTTAAATATATTAGTAGCTTTTTAATTCTAACTCAAATGTTTATGGTTAGCTTCACACATGCTTCATATATACAATTTGTAACCAACAGCTGTTGGTTGGAAATTTATACAAATTGCTTAAACAACAAAATACTACCAATAGGATTTACTTAAAATCATTTTAAAATGAAAGTATATTTTCCCATTACTGTTATGCTGTTATGTTAAGAAATGTTAATGCAAGACCACCATTTATTCACGTTGAAGAAACATGGTGGTAGTTAGTTGCATTTATAAATTGTTTTTAAGCATCTTTAATTGACAAGGCTAAAATTTTTAACAACAAAATAGTACATACAATTCATCATCATCAGAGCAGCTTTCTTGATGCTCCCTGATATTGTTGACAGATACATCAAGTTTACAGTTAAAGCACATGACTGTGGGTGTAGGATCACAATGTTCCTGACGAAGAAGGCAAATATAAAAAATTAGCAATGAAACACATGACACAAATATATAAACTAACTTATGGAATAAGTTTTTTTTTGTATAAAAACTAATCAACAACAAGCATGCACTTCCTTCTCGTTTTTCATGAATAAACATTAAAAAAATACTCACTTCGCTTGAGTCAATAATTTCGGAAGGTGTCACATTTAAATTGCATTGGATTAGTCTTACGAAAGCAACAGCCTGTCCAAGTCCTCCTATATCGCATAAAAATGGCCCACTATATCCAGACCGATGTGGCTTTATCATGATCAACTCACTGGCTTGCACACCATGTCTTAAGATGTCAAATCCTCCACCATCTTTCTATTTAGGATACACTGCTTCTAGCTTAGTTTTCAGATCAACTGCATTTGCTTTTGGCTTGAAGAGTAATTTTTCTTTTCCCCAGCCCTGCTCCTTAAAGTTGCTCTTTGAGCTCCAAGCTAGGAGCAGCATTTTCCTTACAGTTGGCCAAAGAGAAAAAGATGTGCATCCAGGTTTCCCGTTTGTTGTAGCCTTTCGAGTTTGTTTTCTGCGCTTGGGCTGGGAAAAGTAGATTGGGTATCTACAGCCATGTATGTGGATGATGTGGCCATGATATTGCCTTATTTGGTGGTGAAATGCACGTGTCCATGTTCCATTTCCGTTCAAAAAAAATTGGTTTCTGAATGCCATTCCGAATGAATTACCATGCATGCCGAATGAAATTACTCCGAATGAAATGCTGAAAAAAGAGAGTTTTCATTGCAAAATTGCAATTAAAAGAGTATAATGAAATGACAGCACTTAATAATGAAAACTTTTAACTTCAAAAGTGAAAAAATTAATATTGCCGGAGATCACACCTCATGGAGAAATCGAAAACAGGGTAAGCTGTAAATTATTACTACTTATAAAGAAGTATGATTGATGTGTATGTATTGTTGATATGAATAAAAACTTAAATCATTTACATCTCAAGGTGGTACGAGACATAGCCTCCTGTTGCCACAGATTTGTTCGATGAAAGTGTTCAGAAATTAGTTTCACCAATATTTTTCAACTTTATTGCTTGGACGTGAGTATTTCAGATGAACCATTGTTTACAAGTTATCTCCATGTTCGAGAGAAAGTAGCCGTCCAGGTTTTCTCCATTTGTCCAGATATGATAAATGCTTTTAGAAAGGATCCAAATGCAAAAGGCATTGTCTCTAGCTATGGCAGCGAGGCTGATAACATGTTCTTCTGGATATATAAACATTTTACACAAACTAGGGCATTGCATTTCTTTGCCCTCAACAATGGCATATGTCTTAGCATTAGCTTAAATGACAATAAATACATGAAATATTGTTCCCAAGGAGTTCATTCCTGGAAAACATATCTGTCTTCTGTTTGACAATATTCATTTTTAAGAGGAATCCTATTGACAAACACATGTAACAAATGGGAGTATCATTCAGAAAGCATTTCCTCATACTATGCTGGTTGCCGAACGTCCACGTGGAAAATCAACGATAAAGAAGAAATTAAGATCTATAGAATTACCAACCACTGAAATAGCCCCATACTATATTGGCATAAGGAAAACAGCGAATTATGATAACTGTGAATTGCACGTAAAAGCAATAGAGCCTCTCATCAAAAACAAAAAAAGTGCAATAGCGCAAAAGTTAGATCTAATATATTCGTTGATCAAGATTTTCAGTGCAAATGGTGAAGAGCCTTGGCCTGGTTGGACAGGATTTAACGCGATGCTAAGACAGTGTAGCTTACCAACAGTATCGAGAGATGGCTATCTTCCTACTATTAATGCCATCCCTACAGAATATTCTACACTTCATGAAGTATTAAGGTAGTCATAAACAAATTGAAGGCACTATTTTTTCTAAAAACTCAAAATTTTTTTTCTTTCATTATAAGTACTTTATCTGTGGTTTTTATGAATATTCTAATCGTTTTTCTTTAAAACAATCATTTACCCACGAAAAATGCTTTCCAAGTTGTCTTAGAGTTTTTGGTTCATAGCAACGCCTTAGCAACGGATTTTTACCCAAATTTTACCCTAAAACCTCTCTTTCTAAAGCGAGTTTTTTGTCTCTACTTTTGGTGGATGTTATTCAAAGCCTTCTCGTTAAGTTACATCGTGATTGGTTGCATTTTGGCACCACGGTAACTCTTAGAATTTCATATCAAATTTCATATCGCGTGCTCGCATTGTTGGAAAAGTTACTATTCAAAAAACATTTTAATTTTGTGTCTCTAAGGAGAAAAGTCTTTTTGTTAGTATTTCGGACCTTTCCTTTTGTTATTCCAAGAATTATCAGAGTGAAAAATAATGGGGAATAGTCGAAATAGAAAGAGAAAAGCTGTTAGAACTCTGTAATCAAAAATGGCAAAGAAGTCAAAACATGGCAGAAACGATGACGCAAACCCTGGACCTTCTGGAAAGAAAATAAGTCATCAAACGAGGAGCATTGACGAAACTTTTAATAATCCACACATTGCAAAAGAAGGCACTGTGTTTATGGACTTGTCTTTGCTGTTTGGTGTTTTTGATGAAATTTTAAAATGCCCTGATTGCAAAAGCAGTGTGGAATCCCATGTTGACTTGAAGAAAAGGAAAGGCTATGCACATTATATTGTTCTTCAATGTAAGAATAAAGAATGTGAGTGGAAGTAAAGTTTCAACACATCTAAAAAGCAAGGCTGTTCACACAAACTTAATGCCCAAGCAGTCCTAGTATTTCGAGAAATTGGTCGAGGGCAAGCTGCAATGGTCACATATAGCAAGGTCATGAATATGCTCCACCAACTTGCCGAAGCTTTACAATAATCCAAAATGGAAAGCTGTCACCAGTTGTTCAACATTTGGCCAATGACAGCATGCTCAGCAATGCTATGCATGTTAGAGA